GGCTTTTTTCTTTTTTGCTTATGTGGTGCTGAGGAATTGAACCCAGGGCCTCAGGCATGCAAGGCAAGCGCTCTACCACTGAGCCAACTTCCCAGCCCCCAAGACTCAGCTTTTTTTGAAAGTGTAATTTCTTGTTGGCTTCATGGACCAATCATAATATCACATATCTATATAGGCCCAGATGTAAAGAAGAAAACGGAAGAGGAAGATGTTCATTGTGAAGATGATCTCATTTTAGCGTGTCAGCCAGAAAATCCAGTTAAAGCATTGGATTTTGATATCACTGAAAATCAACCAGGTATAATATTACCTATTTGTTTCTTTTTGAGAAGAGTGGTATGATGGTATATATTTATTTTTATTTGGCATGGTATGGAAATTTAATAAACTTTCAGATGTTAGGAAGTTTTTAATTTGTGGACAGTTGAGATGTTTATTCCCTGCCTATCGGCCATTTAGTTATTTGCCAATTCTATCAGCATGGTGAAAAAAATAATATTTACTTGTAGAGTTTTGATGGGAGAAACTGATGCTAAGAAAGGCTATTAATGTTTTTAATTTCTATCCTGTTTTTGTATTTCTGTTTTGAAATTTCCAGCTATCTATCTCCTGACTTCTCAGGCATATGTTATAGTCTGTGCTGACAACATAAGTAATCAGCATTGAAAGTATAGCTACTGAAATTAAAATTAGTAGTAGTCCTTGAAGAACTTAATTTTTGAGTAGCATTCAATTTGAAAACAGACTGATGTGTTATTTAGTATTTAATTTTTTAAAGTTTAACTTTTTCTTTTTGAGGCCGAGTTTTACTATGTGGCCCATGCTGGTTTCAAATTCTCTATACTCTTGACTTAGTCTCTGTGTACTGGGATTACAGATATATGCTACCACCCTGGCTTCTTAAAATTTTTAATTGTTACTGTGAGTTTTACTGAATCTTTTATGAAAATGTGATTGGCTAAAAGGAAGATTCATTTGAATGTGAGCATTTTCTTATGCCATTACATAGTAGCTTTCAAATAGCATTCTGAAAACTTACAGCTTAATATATATATGTATATATATTTTTTTTATAAAGAGAGGTTACAGTTACATGTCAGGTAAAGAGTACATTTCCTTTTCAGCAATGTCACCCTTCCCTCACTCTCCGCGAGTTTTCCCCACAAGTTCTATAGTTCATTTTCAAGGTAGTGTCCAGTGAGTACCATTACTGCATTTGTCCCTCCATTTCTATGCCTTCTCTTAGATTTCCGAAGAACAAAAAGAAAATGAAAACAGAGAAAAGGAAAAACCTCTTGCTTTTTAATGGCACTGTGGAGCTAGTAAAAGGAGATAAAGGGGAAATGAAGGAGGGTCTAAGCAGAGGATCTAGGCTCTTATTAGTGCCTTAATCTATGTAGTTCTTTTATTCATTTATATATTTGTGGCTTCATCATAAGGCTTCTTTTAGGAAACAGGATTTATCATTTTAAGAAACATGCAAATCAATCAATTTCAGTAAACTATATCAATCATAGGTAGCTCATGTTGACCTATATGTATACTGGAATTTGCTTATTGGGACAGTGGTCAAAATCAATTCAGGAAATGATGATAGTTGAGGGAAGGTAGAAAATCCTAAATAAACAGTTATCTTAGGTAAGTTTTCATCCTAAATGAGGCAGGTATTAGTTGCCAGGTTGCTTAAGTTTCTCATTAGGGAAGGGTTTAATTAGTGATTTTTAAACTTCTTAAAGAGGCAGAGTAACTGGGAAATCATACTTCAAAATGGAATATCAGATGAATATGCAATTGATAATGTTTAGTTCTATGATGTACAAACAGTGTCATTAGAAGAAAACATTAGCTTGGGGATGTACTCTATGGAAGAGCACTTTCCCAACACTTGTAATGCTCTGGGCTTGATTTCTAACAGCTCTTCCCCCATTCCCCACCCCCAACATTATATTGTACTGTGCAATATAAAGTCATAGGTTTCCCAACTGAGAGTATAATGGAAGAAATGAATTATGGTGTATTAATAGCCATCAGTCTTTGGTCTTAGGACCCCTTAATGCTTAGAAATTAGATATTGTACCAGCTTAAATTACTGCATCAATCTACGTTTGAGTGCCAAGTCTGTCATTTCTACTGAGTGATGCTGGAAGATGAAAATCATTTTTAAAGCTTTTTTTATCGTCACATGAAACACATTTAGAAGCATTTTACTTTAAATTTAATTTTGATAGGCAACTACTCATATCTGTTTTCATTTAGATTTGTCATATAATTTATATTTGTTTCTCTGTTCCCTTCCCTGTTGTCAGTTTTTTAACATCTGAATGTCTATTTTAAAGTAAATTAATTCTTTAAATTTATAGAAATAGAAGAATTACCTCCAATTGATCATGGAGTTCCTATTACAGACCGAAGAAGTACCTTTCAGGCACACTTGGCTCCAGTAGTTTGTACTAAACAGGTAAGGTTACTGTGTCTGGTTCATTCCAGTGATGTTTTACTAAAAGAAGTAAATGATTTTTGCAACATACCTTTATTTTTTACTCTTACATTTAATTTTCACATAAGATAAAAATTATTTGCTCATTTTTTTCTGTTCTCAAATTAACTGGGAATCATGGAAGACTTTTTGTTTCTTCTTGCTTTCAAAATTGTATTTAATGCAAGGTCCTGAGATCAAATTCTACTACCACCAAAAAAATTTAATCTATGATTGGGACTAAGTGTAAATAATTTTTAAAGAAATACTTGTGGAGCTCTTACGGAAAATTATGATACTAGCTGTTAAAAGGAATTGTCCCTAAGTTCTATGAAACTAAACAAGAGCACAGTGGACAGACATGCTAACTGGGCCTATCTGAATTCCTTTCCTTTCTGCTTCCTACCAAATGATATAAACTGGAGACTGTTTTATTAAAGCTGTAATTCCTAGGCCATTGTCTTTATCATTCAGGCTCTTTTCAGTAGAATCCTAGTCTTCCCCATTTCTAAGAACTAGCCTAAGTTAAACTATCTTGAACAAAGTGGTTCCAGTTCTTGGTATAAAGCTAAATAATTTAAATGTCTCATTTACCTGTTTTTAAAAATTAATATTGGGCTGGGAAGGTGGCTCAGAGGTAGAGTGCTTGCCTTGCATGCATGAGGCCCTGGGTTCGATTCCTCAGCACCATATAAGCAGGAAAAAAAAAGCCGGAAGTGGTGCTATGGCTCAAGTGGTAGCGCGCTAGCCTTGAGCTGAAGAGCTGAGGGACAGCGCCCAGGCCCAGAGTTCAGGCCCCATGACTGGCCCCCCCCCCAAAAAAAATTAATATCTTTCTTTTAGTTTCTGCCACTACTCTCTAAACTCTTCCCTGCTGGCTCCTTCCCCTACTTACAATGTTGCATATCAAGTCTAGGAAATCTAGACAAATCCTGTACCACAGAACTACATTCTAGTCTTCTATACTCTTTTAAAGCCCTGACCTTTAGGAATGCAGTTCTTTGAAATAGGATTTTTATTCTCTTCCAGCCTCTAGAGAGGCTGTTTTCAAAATAGACTTATAGTCAGAATCACAACTTACAGAACAGTCTTCTGATCTTTTCTCTCTGGAACCCGTTTTATCCTTGGCCTCAGCTCATAATCTTGCCAGCAGGGTCCTTCTTAGGCATTCTATCCTGAATCTACTCATCTTTCATCTTTTTTCTGGTTTTGGTTATAGTTACATAGATTATATGAGAGTTCAAACAAATCTTACATATCTTTCTCTGTTGTACTGAAATCTGAGAACTTGAAATTGTAACATATGATACCAGTTCAGTTTTCCCTACATCTAGTATTTCTTCTATATTTCTTTCCTGAAAATCTAACCACATTTCATTTTCTTCTCTCCCTCATCTACCTTCAGACATAATCTTTGGTGACTTTCATTGTCTACAAGAAATAAACTAAATGCTTACATGAAGTTCTTTGTGATACGATCCTAGCCCATGTTATGTGGTACATCTTCTACCATCTCTCAGCCTCTTAAGTTACTACATATAATTTCCTCAACCTTTCTCTTTTATGTTCCTCTCAATATTTCTAGAATACAAGATAGCTAGTTTTTGGATTTCAGATAAGCATTATTCATGGGACATATTTATACCTATTTATTTTATTTTAATGCTGGTCCTGGACTTTGAATTCAGGGCCTGGGTGCTGTCCCTGAGCTTTTTACTTAAAGCTAGCGCTCTACCACTTGTGCCATAGCTCCACTTCCAGCTTTTTGGTGTTTAATGGGAAATAACAGCCTCATGGAATTTCCTGCCCAGGCTGGCTTTGAACTGCAGTCCTCAAATATCATCCTCCTGAGTAGTTAAGATTACAGGTATGAGCCACTGGCACCCAATCCTAATTTCTATTTAATTAATATTTATATCGATATACCTTTGTAATTTACTGGACATTCAGATTTGACTAGTTATTCTTTATTTTTATTTGCTAATGCTAATCACCTAAGTCTATGCATTTACACAGGCTATTGTCTCTGACTAGACTTGTTTTCCTGCCTCTGTTACTTATTTTATAAGGCCTAGCTCATGTGACCTCTTTTGTGAACCTTACTTGACTCTCAGGTTTTGCTTTTATAACATTTGGAATGTACCATTACTGCATGCCTACCACACTGAATATATACATTTGGCACATGTTAGAGCTAACATTTAATATTCCTATAGTTTCATTTAAGATTCTCTATATAAGCCAGGCGTTGGTGGCTCACACCTGTAATCCTAGCTACTTAGGAGGCTGAGAGCTGAGGATCACGGTTCAGAGCCAGTCTAGCCAGGAAAGTCTGTGAAACTCTTATCTCCAATAAACCACTCAGAAAACCGGAAGTGGCGCTGTGGCTCAAGAACACTCGCCTTGAGCTAAAGAACTGAGAGATAGCACCTAGGCCCAGAGTTCAAGCCCCATGACTGACCAAAAAAGATTATATAAGGAAAAAGATATATTTATGTCCTAAACATCTATTGATAATTAGTGCTTAGAAATGCCAGATCTTTAGCCAGGTGCAGTTGCTCAAGCTTGGTCATAAAATGAGGTATCTTGGAAAAAACCAACATAAAAAGGGGCCACGGGTGTGGCTCAAGTGGTCGAGTGCCTGTTTGCAAGTGCAAGGCCCCTAAGTTCAAACCCCAATACCACCATCACGCACATACATACATTTACAACAGCCAAAAATCCAAGTTTGTTATTTTTAAACCAGTGGGGAGTGCTTAGTTCCTGCCCTTAAAATGAGGAGGAAACTAGAAATAAGCTTTTTCAGAGCCAGAGAGTTTCCTGTGTGTGAGCTGCTACTGGGGCTTGAATTCAGGTCTTTTTGATGGGTTTTTGGAGATAAGAGTCTACAGACTTTTCTCCTTGAGCTAATGTTGAACTCCAGTCCTCAGATTGCACTCTTCTTAAGTAGCTAGAATTACAAGAACCACCAACACCGAGCTGTATCTTCTAATTCAACACTTTTTATCATTGTCCTTTAAAATATTTTTCAAGAATTCATTTGCAGAGCAAATAAAAAGCAAGCATTGTTTATATTACTGCTGTTTTTAAGGTGAAAATGGTTCTTGCCAAATTGTATGAGAATAAGAAGGTAGCCAGTGCCACTCACAACATCTATGCCTATAGGTAAGTGATTATCACAATTTTTGGAATATGCAGTTAATAAATGGTGATTAGGAAATTATGGATGATTAGGAAATTTACTAACATGTGTTTTTTTCCATTGTAATAGGAGTAGATGTGTAGAATATTTGGAAATTGTAAAATAGAAAAGTAATTGGAAAGAAAATAAAGTATCTTCTGTTAAATATAACTAATATTTTTGATGTACTTTCTGTCTTTTCTATGCTGTTTATTTTTCTCTATGTCCTAAGTTTTTGCAATTTAATGAGTGTTTTCCTACAGCCACCTGATATGGCTATATATTTGTTTGAGGTTCCATACCACAACTTATTTAAGCATTTCCTTTTTGTTTTAGTGTCTCTCTCTCTCTCTCTCTCTCTCTCTCTCTGTCTGTCTTGAGGCTTGAACTCAGGGCCTGAGTGCTGTCCTTGAACCTTTCTGCCACTTGAACCACAGCTCTACTTCTGGCTTTTTGGTGAATAATTGGAGATCATGAACTTTTTCTGCCTGGATTGTTTTGAACTACTCAGCCTCCTGAGTAGTTAGCTACAGGTGTGAGCCACTGGTACTCAGAGAGTCTTTCATATTTTCCATTATTACACAGGATACTCTAGTGAATCTGGGTGTAGGAGGAGTTGGTGCTTTGTAATTCCAGCTACTGGAGAGGTTAAGGCAAGAGAATTGTGAGTTCAAAGCCAGCCCTCGCAAAGTAAGAAAGACTCTACCAAAAGCAAAAATACAACTGGTTAAAGCCTTGTAATGCTAGCTTCTTAGGAAGCTGAGATCTAAGAACTGCGATATGAAGTCAGCATAGGCAGACATATCGGTGAGACCCAGCAAAAAGTAAAAGTGTGGCTCAAGTGGTAGAGTGTTGTGAACATAAAAGCTGAGCCAGAGCATAAAGTCCTTAGTTGGGCCCCAATAATGGCACTAAAACTAAACAAGAAAAAAAAAAACAGAAATGGAGGGACAAAGGGTAAACAAATGCAGCAGTGGTGCTCACTGGATGCTATATTGAAGATGAGCTATACAAATGATGGGTGGGATGGAAGAGGAAAACTGGGAGAAAGCCAGAGAAGGGGTGACATTGTCTAAAAGAAATGTATTCTTTGTCTTACTTATATAATTATAACTCAACTCTGTTTATTGCAGCATTATTCACTATAGCTAAGATATGGAACCAACCCAGATATCCCTCAGTAGATGAATGATTAAGAAATTGTGATATATATATATACACACACACACACACACACACACACACACACACACATACACATATATACGTACATACACACACGCACACACACACGTACACACACACACGAATTCTATGCCTCCATCAGAAAGAATGACACTGCCCTATTTGTTAGGAAATGGGAAGACTTGGAAAAAATTATATTAACTGAAGTAAGCCAGGCCCAAAGAAACATAGGTCCCATGGTTTCTCTTTTTTTTTTTTGTCAGTTGTGGGGCTTGAACTCTGGGCTTGAGCACTGTCCCTCAGCTCTTCAGCTCAAGGTGAGCGCTCTATGGCTTGAGCCACAGCGCCACTTCCGGTTTTCTAGTGGTTTATTGGAGATAAAGAGTTTCATGGACTTTCCTTGCCCAGGCTGGCTTTGGGCCATGATCCTCAGATCTCAGCCTCCTGAGTAGCTAGGATTACAGGCGTGAGCCACCCGCGCCCGGCTCTATGGTTTCTCTTATCTGCAATAACTAGTATATGTCTAGGACAAGCCCAAAGGTCAAAAATAATTTTTTAAAAAAGAAACAGAAGTACAAACAAAGGACGATGGGCCTGGCTCAGGTGGTAGAGTGTTGCCTAGCCTATATAAGGCCATGGATTCAATCCCTAATACCTAAAAAAAGGAAAAAGGAAAAAAAAAGAATAGTCCCATTAATATCTTTGAATAGTTTTTAGATTATTTCTGCCAAAGAGATTCTGGTTGCTTCAGCTTCTTTGTTGAAATGAAGCAAGTATAGTTAAAAGGAAGACAGAATAAATTCTTAGAGTAGCATTATAAAAAAGGGGGAACATTTTTGAAGCTCTTTATAAATATTGCCAAACTTTTCCAAAGTTGGTGGGTTTTTGTTGTTGTTGTTGTTGTTGATGGTGGGCCTGGGCACTGTCCCTGGGCTCTTGAACTCAAGGCGAGTGCTCTACCACTTGAGCCACAGTGCCACTTGTTCTCTTCACACAGCGAGACCTGAAAATGCAATGCCTGGGCAGAGTGTGGACTCCACCTTTGCAGAGTAGAGACAAAGTTTATTGAAACGTCGCATGCTTATATAGCATACAGACATTAGAAAGTACATTTTCAGTTGGGGGCAGAAAGTTTATCTTAAACAATTTTATGGGAATACAGACAATGAGAATTAACTAACCTTTAGTCAGTGTGCAGGAAGAGTCAACAAATGTGAAGCAGTTCTATGTTATCAAAGGTTACAAAGAGTATGCACAGTGCAGGTGGGCTTCCTTAGACACACAAAGGGAGTCTTGAGGCATTTTTCTATGGGATTATTTGGAGCAAGTAGGGCACTTTCCACATACCTTCCACTGAGGTCATGGCCGGAGCATTGGGACTGTTGCCCAGACTTGGAAAGAGCTTTCTTCTTGCCCAAGAGGCTGCAGCTGGGTGTCCCGACCATAGCCAGGACTATGGAGGAGTGTTCTTGTTGGCTAGTACATAAACTTCACACAGCACATAAATCATCAGGCAGGGTCACACAAGTCTGTGTCTCTGACAGCCACTTCTGGTTTTCTGGTAGTTAATTGGAGATAAGAGTCTCAGGTACCTTCCTGCCTGGGCTGGCTTTGATCCTCAGATCTCAGCCTCCTGAGTAGGTAGGATTACAGGCATGAGCCACCAGCACCCAGCTTGTTTGTTTGTTTGTTTTAAATGAAACTTAATTTATATGTCCTGAGCATGTTCCCACATGCTTATAATTCCAACTACTCTCAAGGTAGAGATTAGAGGAATTGCTGTTCAAGACAAAACTAGCCAAGAAGTTAGTGATCATATATCACAAACAAGCTTAGCATACTATAGTCCCAGCTACCTTTGTCACTGATAGGATACTAAGCTGACCCTAGGGAAAACCACTAGACCTCTCTATCTGAAGAATAGATAAGGCAAAAAAGGCCTAGAAGCACGGCTAAAGTGGTAAAATGCCTGACAGGGATGGGGCCGTGAGTTCAAATGAAGTACTGCCAAAAAATAGAAACAAAAACCAAAACAAAAAAATTTAAGAATTGAGAATGCTTCTTTTCTTACACCTGTCTAGTGTTGAGTACTAAGATTTTTATACAGATCTTTGATGATTTGTAAATGAAAATACGAAGGACAATTTTTTTGTACTTTTTTATTGTAAAAATGCTGTACAGAGGAGTTACAGTTACATGAACAAAGTAATGAGTACATTTCCTATTGAGCATTGTTGCCTCCTTCTTTGTTTACCCTTCACATCCCTTCCCAGCCTTCCCGCCCCCCCACCCAATTCCCCCCCCCTCCGCACCAAAGTTGTAAAGTTCGTTTTCTTTTTTTTTTAATTTAATTTAATTTTTTTTGTGAACATACTGTACAGAGGGGTTACAATTACATGGGCAGGATAATGCATACATTTCTTACCAAGCATTGCAGCCTCCTCCTTTGTTTACCCTTCACATCCCTTCCCTACTCCCCCCTACCTCCCCACCACCCAATCCTCCCCCTCCCCCCCCCCCCCCCCCGTAAAGTTCGTTTTCGACATGACAGAAAAGTTTATAGTTTTTATGGCTTTAGTTGGGAGGATATCTTTACCACAGATGCCCACCTACATGTGATGTCATTGTAGAGGCCTAACAAACTCACCATGGATTGTTTTTTTAATCTCTAGGATTTAATTGCCAAGCTTATTCTACTACAATGTTTCCTTTCCATTATTTTGAATTTAAATGGGTAAAAACCCCATGATTTATTTCTAATACTGATAAACACTTTGGGAGATATTTTAAAGAAGAAAGATAAATCTTTTAATTCTTATTAAGAATGTAGGAAAAAAATACTTGATGGTTGGAATAAAATGAAAAGAAAGGCGTGAAATGTTAATATGTTGTCCCTCCTCTTCATGTGCTTCTTCCCATAGGCTCTTTTAAGACAGGACTATGCCATGTATTTCATTTACATGAATTTCATTTCATTTACATGTTTTTTTTTTTTTGTTTGTTGGTTGTGGGGCTTGAACTCTGGGCTTGGGCACTATCCCTCAGCTCTTCAGCTCAAGGCCAGCACTCTACCACATGAGCCACAGCACCACTCCTGGTTTTCTAGTGGCTTATTGGAGATAAGAGTCTCTTAGACTTTCCTGCTAGGGCTGGCTTTGAACCATGATCCTCATATCTCAGCCTCTTGAGTAGCTAGGATTACAGGCATGAGCCACCGGGGCCCAGCTACATGTATTTCATTTTATCATACCTCTATTTTATAGTGTTTATGTATAGTCTCAATAGCTGTTTTTCAATGACTTTATTACATCATATCTTTAAGATTCCGTTTTCTGTTAAAGCAGCATTTCTGATATAAAGCTTATTCCTAGCTTTCCCAGGTATAAAAAATGGTAAAATGAACTGGATAGTAAATCATCCATAAAATATATCTCATGTTGAATTCAGAAGGATTTTTAAAAACAAATGTGTTGATTTGCAAAACAAATTAATTGCAATAAGTATTGAGTGATGACTTTCATTGTACTCCTTTGAAGTTTCAAAGTATAACCCTGTTATACGTATTTCTAGAATATACTGTGAAGATAAGCAGACCTTTTTGCAAGACTGTGAGGATGATGGGGAAACAGCGGCTGGTGGACGTCTTCTTCATCTCATGGAGGTAGGTGTAACTTAAAATCTAAATCCTATTCTATATGAGCCATAACATTTCTCAGCAAAACAGAGCTCCATTTAAATTAGTAAGTTACATGTTATAAGTACATTTGGTTTAATAGTGAAATTTTTAAAATTGTGTGGAAATTTAACCACCGGATATAAGCAGAAAGCAAATGGCTAGTAATAAGTTCTGTGTTTGAAAGACAATTGAACATTGTCTTCTACTTTGGGTAAACTTCTCTGTAGTTTTTTTTTTCTTTTCTTCTGTCTTTATAGAAATTCTGTTAGTTGAATTTTGGATTTCTGGAAAGATCCAGAATCAATCCTTTCTCCCTACTTTTCTTCCCTTTTTTCCTTTCTCTTCTCCTTTTTCTTCCCCTCCCTTTATCTCCTTATTTTCCTCCCTTCCTACTTCCCATCTTCTTTTCTCACTCTTTTTCTTCCTTTCTTGTTCAACTCATTGTCTTTACGTTATCAGGCATTCCTTACTTCCAAAATTGTTGAATTTTTAATTTTTTTTGCAACCATATATTTGATTTTTTTCTCTTTTTTTGCTAAGTATATAATTTTTAAGAGTTCATTATTAATTTTTCATAGAATTTTATTCTGAGTTTATGAATATGTATTTTCTAAAATTCCTTTGCATATATTAATTAGGATTTCTTTATTCAGATGTTTTCACCATTAAATTTTTCTTGGTCCATTTTAGTTTATCTTATCCTTTCTCTTTCATGCTGCTGGATTTTCTTCATCTGTCTGGTGATCATTAGTTGTCCATTAATTTTAAGAATGGATTATTTTTTTCCCAAGGTAGTTACTGTATTATATGTGGAGCTTTGTTTTTCTAAACTGGGCCTTTCCCTTGACTAGGAACTCTAGTTCCTAGTTACTCTAGGTGTGGGTCAGGCCTTTGTACCGGTGAGTTTCACTTTAAGGGCAACATTTAACAAATATTGAACTAATGAAGAACTTACTGATCAGCTCCAGTGACTACTTTGTTTTTGTTTTTGTTGTTTAGTCCAGTGATAAAAAGGTCCCTACACTGAGCTATTCTGGTAGAAGTCCCCAAACACTGGAACACTACCTGCATGGTCTTCTTCACTCTGCCAGATTGCCCCAAAGTTTGGAGTTTGAGGATACTGGTTTTTCAAATGGCTTTCTATTCTAATATTTTACCCCTGAATTACTAGTAACTTACTCAATGAAGTACTCATCTGTTCTGCCATTAGAGTCCGTGGGAATTTTTATGTGCAATTTTTAATGTGGGTTATTTAATTCTTATTTAAAACTTGTGTTTGTATATGTCTAGTTGTATGTCTAATCGTGCTTCTAAATATAACAGATTTTGAATGTGAAAAATGTCATGGTGGTAGTATCACGCTGGTATGGAGGAATTCTGCTAGGACCAGATCGTTTTAAACATATCAACAACTGTGCCAGAAATATACTAGTGGAGAAGAATTATACAAGTTCACCTGTAAGTGGCTATTGATCTATAGAGTTTCTTATCACTGTGAAAATAAGGAGTGAGACCCTGGTCAGAACAATGAGACTGGGTAGTCATATATATGGCCTTGGGCAGATTACTTTATCTCTTGAACCTCAATTTCATAGATTCATAGATTTCATATTATAAAGAACTTTTGAAGACAAACTCATTCTTTCTCTTGCCCCTCAAACCGAGCCCCATAGAAATTGTAGCTCTGTGTGTGTGTGTGTATGTGAGTGTGCCGAGGCTTGAACTTAGATCCTCTGCGTTGTCCCTGAGTTTTTTTGCTTAAGGCTAGTTCTATCAGGACACACAGCTCTAACTTCCAGCTTTTTGGTGATTAATTGGAGAACAGAAATCTGGAGTTATCTGATCAAGCTGGCTTTGAACCATGGACTAGATATTATTATTTTTTTTTTAGTGTGTGTGTGTGTTTTGTATGTCCTGGGGCTTGAACTCAGGGCCTAAGTGCTGTCCTTGAGCTTTTGTACTCAAGGCTAGCGCTCTACCACTTGAGCCATATTTCTACTTCTGTCTTTTTTGGTGGTTAATCGGAGAGAAGAGTCTCATGGACTTTCGTATCCAGGCTGGCTTTGAACTGAGATCCTCAGACCTTAGTCTTCTGAGTAGCTAGGATTACAGGCATGAGCCACCAGTGCAGAGCTTATAACTAGATGTTTTTAAGCAGCTGTGCAATACTAAACTTGTCATTAATGTCAAGTAATCCCTCTCCCTTTGGCATGCTGTCAGTATACTTTGAGCTTTTCTTTTGGTATACTTTGAGCTCATTTTTGCTTAATGTATCCATTTAAACTTTATTACCTTACTTAAGAAACTAGAAATATATTAAATAATGAGATTATTGAAGTATAAAATATAAGCAAAGTATTTTTCTTAATTATTCTTGATTGTCTTATTGTAATAGACTATAAATGAAAGTGCCCTATAAGACACAAGTAATTATACCCTCACCTGTTTGTAGAGACTGTGTGATCAGATATCAGGTTCCATCTGTTTGTAAACAGAGAGGTATTACATTTTTTTTTTCTTTTTCAGGAAGAATCATCTAAGAGTTTGGGCAAGAACAAAAAAGTAAAAAAAGACAAGAAGCGGAGTGAACATTAATACTTGAAACTATATGAAAGGTTAATTTTTCTATAATTACAAACATATTCTACAGTCATCAAGGAATATATGACCCTGGCTGCTCAAGTCAGCCAATTCATCATGGACACCAGCATTATCTTTTCTTCTTTAGTTTTATCATCTGCCAAAAATACAGAAGTTAGAATATATTCATGTGTGTTTTAGGCTTTTTGGAAAGAACTAGTTTGTGCTTAATCATTAATTTATCTAGTTTTAGGAAAGTGACAGTTGCCCAGGCCAGTGTCTGAATTACTGCTTCACTTAAGTACATGTCAAGTGCCTTTGTTAGGTGGGGAAGAAGTGTCTCCAGAGGACTATAAATGCCTGATTTCTTGTCATTGGGATTCTTGTACTGTTAAATGAACATTGCCTTTTCTGCTCTTTATGGCTTATTGGAACAGAAGCTCATTGAAGATTGATCTTGGAGAATTTCTTCCTGTGATTTCAGTTCAAAATGTGACATTTTTCATTTTATAGTCTGAGTAATAAGTGAGAATCCAGAAGTATATATCTATAGTTATGTGTTGAGGTGGCAATTTATCAAACTAATTTGTTAGTTTAAGTATTACGCCTCAATTTCTGTCACAAATATGTGATTGTGAAATTTCAAGAAGTGATTTTGTGGTCTCTGCCTTTTTGTTGTTTAATTCTTGTAATGCAAAACATTGAATATGGAATGCCAGTAGGCTCCTGCCACCTCTGAACTGTGTTCATGTAATATTCTGGTCTAACAACTTGGTGGTATCTTCTGGTCTTTATTAAGGTATTAAAACCATGCTAGGAGCTATACTGTGATTAATGGGGCATTTAAAGACCTGAGTAAACATGACAGAACTATACTAGTCTGAGGCAAGAACTGCAATAAATGTGGTACATATTTCTCTGTGTTCCAGTCAGCCTTTATAAATCCATGATTTTTGTGGAGAGAAGGAAGAGCAAATATTTTGATTGGAAACAACTCCTCCCATTCTTAGCGGATCTTATGTTTATTTCATCTGCAAGTTGCCTGTAGGCTTTCAGACAAAATTGTTTCCTTTCAGATAGGATATCAGACAATTAGAAGTGATCAACCATGGATTTGTGTAGAAGCCCTTTCCTAAGAAGGGAACAGAGATTAGGAGGAGGCTTTGGAGTGGTGCTAGAGCTTAGAGAGCAACAGAATTTAGGCACATCTTTTTCTCCTCTTTCCACTGTTTCACCTTAAAGAGAGCCAACATCTTTACTTGATATTTTGAACAAGAATCTAGTAAACAGCTCTAAACTAGGCTGGGTTCTGAGACATAGAAATTTATTTTCAACATTATATAGTGAGATGAATTACCAAGTCACAAGATAATGTATATATTTGAGTGCTTACCTCAGTTTCCATGAAGTGCTAAGTATATCTTGTAATAAATTAACAGTTAACACAATGAGAGATGATGTAAACAGTAAGAATTTAATGCTGCAGAAAATGAGTTAATTTTTTTCTACCACATCAAATTGTATTTTTCCTTTTTCTTTCCCTCCCTCCCTCCTTCCCTCTCTCCTTCCTTCCCTCCCTCCCTCCCTCCCTTCCTCCCTCTCTTGCTTGCTCCCTTCCTTCCTTTTTTTTTTTTTTTTGGTGCTGGTACTGGGGCTTGAACTCAGGGCCTCCACTCCCACTTTTTGGCTCAAGACTAGTGCTCTGCCACTTGAGTTGTACCTCCACTTCTGGACCTTTGCTGGTTAATTGGAGACAAAGAGTCTCTTGAATTTGTCCAGGCTGGCTTCAGATCTTGATCTTAAGATCTCAGCTTTCTGAATAGCTAAGATTATAAGTCTCTTTCTTGTTGTTTTATCCAACATTTACTTGAGTCTCTACAGAAGACACTTTTTTATACTATGAATGATTTTATTTCCCTTTAAAAAAATCTTAATTTTTGCTTCTTTTTACAAGATTACTAACTATATTTTACTGAATAAAAAACCCTAGTCTACTTTACTAAAAGTAAGTCAGCTGGTAAAAGGAGAGATTCAAAATCCTCTAGTTCTAATCTCTGAGTTATTTTACACACTACTATTAATGAAAACTAACTGTCATTAGTTAGTTAAAATTTCTATTATATAGAGGATTTTCCAATTCTTCAAAAAATAATTTTATAACCAAATCTATCCTATGCTGTATTTTATATTATATTCTGTTAGTAAAAATATTTTCCACGCCTCATATATGAAAGCAGGTAGCTTTTTTAAGTGTAAATGGCGACAGCAACAGAAGATGTAGGCTCTGGGGGGTATGCATCATGAAGCAGCCTAGCTGTAGAGAATTCTGTCAGACTGACCACACCAGGAAAGAAGATAAAGCAGATATTGTTTGTAGGGCCAATGAACTTTATTGGGAAATTGTGTAATCATCTCTAATTTCCACTTTAGAGAGAACCATTATAAACATTTGGTATGGACATTTATTATTTTTTTTCTTATGCATGATTTTGTATATATGGCTATTTTCCCACAAAAATATTAAACTGTATATAGTGTTTGTATCCTACATATTTCATATAGAAGTATATTGTTAACATTTTCCCATGTCAATAAATATTCTTCTATGGCTCAATCTCTTACGGCTATGTTGTATTTTTGTCTTTTTGGATGCACTATAGTGTTACTAGTTTTCCATTTTCTTTTCCCCAGTTTTTAAGATTTTCTTCCATCTGTCACTTTGATAAATAAATGTGAAAAATTCATTGGATACCTTTTTTTTTTTTTTTGTATTTTTTGGTGCAAGTTCTGGGGCTTGAACTCTGGGCCTGGGTGCTGTCATCTCTTTAGCCACAGCTCCATGTCTAGCTGTTTTTGATGGCTAATTGAAGGTAAGGGTCTCCTGGACTTTGTTTCACAGTCTGGCTTCAAACCACAGTCCTCAGATCTCAGCCTCCTGAGTAGCTAAGATTACTGGAGTGAGCTACTGGCATCCAGTGGACACCTATTTTTATATGTAGCTCGACTGTTTCCTTAGGAAAAACAGGAAATGGGATTCCTTGGGTAGAGGTTTGTACATTCTAATAGCTCTTCATAAGTTTAGTTGAATTGCTCACTAAAGTTTTGTGCATTTTATACCCAGTGTTGTATGAGAATATACTTAGTATTCTGATAAAAAAATGTGATAAAATAGTCTATGTGATAGATAAAACTCACAGTTCCCAGCTTTAAAAATTAATCTTTGTTTTAAAAAATAATTGCAGTTTCACAAGAAGTTGTAAAAATGGTAAAGCAGTCCCTATATACCTATAAGTCAGCTTCTAGTAGTAACATTTTACAAAGCTATTACATTTTCCAAACCAGAAAATGTATTCCTAGTTGTTTTGTGAGCTACATGATTTGCAAATATGTTCTCAGCCTGTAGCTTGTCTTTTCATTGTATCAGTATCATTTGTAGAATAGTTACTGTGTAAACAAAAAAAAATGTGTGTACTTACAATTGCACTTGAGTAGGAGAGACCAGTTTGCAAAAGGAGCCAGGATGGCTACAAAAATAGCATGAAAACCTAATCACAGGGTTTTGTTATATGTAAAGTATCTATTAAGCTAGAAGATTAAAAATAATACATAAATGCATAGAAACAGGCACCTTCTAATAACTTAGTCATTATAAGTTTCAGTAATTTGTTTTCAAAACCTTGATGGCTATGTATAGGATATACAGCTGGAAGTCATGTGCAAAATGGTACTTAACAGTTTAAAAATGTTTTATAATACACATTGCAGTTCAGTATCTATGGCTCATATCTATATTCCTGCCTACTCGGGAGTCTGAAATGTTAATAATTATGCTTCTGACTATCCAAGGCAGACAACTTTGAAAGACTTATCTCCATTGACCAGAAAAAGACTGGAAGTGGAGATGTGGCTCAAATGGTAAAGCACTGTGAGTGGGGAAGGGGTACTGAGTGAGAGTATGAGGCCCTGAGGCACCAAAAAAAAAAAATAAGTAGACATCAATCACATTGATAAACATGATGATGATGATGGTGTGTGTGTGTGTGTGTGTGTGTGTGTGTGTGTGTGTGTTTGGTGATCCACACAGCTTGCATATGCTATGCCAGCACTTTGCCTCTGAGCCACAGCCCAGTCACTAATGATTTTTAACACCGGCCCCCCCTCCGCCAAAATAAAACCAGCTACCAAGTCTGAACATGTGCAGCACTCCAACCTTCACTCTTCTTTGCTTCATTTATTCAGTAACAAGAGGCTCTAGGAAAGGTTTGGAAAAAGTCAAATAGTGATTGTTTTATATACTTTCTTAAAATCCAGCCTGCAAAAACAGAGACTTTAGAACATACAATGTGAAGTGGGAAGGAAAGAAAGGCTGATAAACATTTTGCTGACTTTGTTGTGTAAGATAAGGTACACAAGTGAACAAGATGACTGCAAGCACTGCAGATAAGATTGTAAAGGAACTCTGGTCCACATAAAAATAGGTATTTGTTCTATGTACTGTGTATGGTAATCGGTAGAATTTGTAGGTATTTTTACATAGGCAGATATCTTGTGCCCTTTGGTTGTGGGGAGTTGCCTTTAAGGCAGTAGTCTTCTGAATAGATAACATTCTGGTAAAAGAATAATGATGAATTTTATTTTTCCAGTTCTGGGGCTTGAACTCAGGGCCTGGTTGTAGTCCCTGAGCTTCTTTTGCTCAAGGCTAGTGCTCTACCATTTGAGCCCAGCACCACTCATGGCTTTTTCTGACTAGTTTATTGGAAATAAGAGTGTCATGGACTTTCTTGCCTGGGCTGGCTTCAAACTGTTATCCTCAGATTTTAGCCAGCTGAATAGCTAGGATTACAGGTGTGAGCCACAAGTGCCCAGCATAGCTATGAATCTTATTGGAACAGATTTAATCCTGTTTTACCTTATGTGAAAATAATGATGCTAAGTGAAATGAACTCCAAGATATGAAAACAAGAGGTTTTTGTTTATTGTTGTGTTTTTTTGGGGGGGAGGTCCGGTCATGGGGCCTGAACTCTGGGCCTGGGCATTGTCCCTCAGCTCTTCAGCTCAAGGCTAGCGCTCTACCACTTGAGCTACAGCGCCACTTCCTTTCTTTAGTTTTTTTTTTAATTATTTTTTCCTATGGTTTGTCCTCTGCTATTACTGTATTTGATTTTGGTACTCTGAGTATTGTATATATGTTTATTTGAATTAAGGAAGGGAAGGGGAACAACAAAATGGTGAGACAAATGACAAAGGGCAAACCAATGCAACAGTGATCCTCACAAGACAATATGTTGGAAATGAACTGTGCAACCTGGGAGGGGGGCAAGAGAGGGAATAATGAGGGAAGGGGTAAAAGGCTTGACAAGAAATGTACTCAGTACCTTCCATATGTAACTGTAACCCCTCTGTACATCACCTTGACAATAAAATATTTTTAAAAATCAGTTAAATACTAAGCTCAAAATTTCAGTTTAGGTATTCTGAATTTATTGAACTTTACTCACAGATGTCAAGTCCTTTTCAAAATTGTATGACTGATCCTTCCATTCCTTGCCATATTTGATGGACCTCTAAGTTATTCTTTTCCTTCCTTCCTTCCTTCCTCTCTCTCTCTCTCTTTCTTCCTTTTTCTCTCTCTCTTTCTTTCTTTGGTGTCTATCTTAGGGCTTGAACTCAGGGCCTGGGTGCTGTCCCTGAGCTCAAAGCTAATGTTCTATCACTTGTACTATAGCTCTACTTTCAGCTTTTGGGTGGTTAAAAGGAGTTAAGAGTCTCGTGGACTTTCCTCTCAGGTTTGAATCATAATCCTCAGATCACACCCTCCTGAGTAGTTGGAGTAAGAGTCCTGGCTCTCCTAAAGCTCACTGCGGTTCAATCTACCTGACCTGTTGTTGATGTTGAATACTAATATCTTTCTCCTGACTTTGAAATAGATTTGAACTCAACAAAGCATTTAGACCCTGAAGCTAAGGTCCAGTGAGTATGAGACACTGCCACATGGACTTTGATTTGGGTATACTACAGTGCTTCCACAGAAGATTCCCGGCTTTTCATTCTCAGCAATATGGGTCCACAAAGTTAGGCTAAATTGTTTTATTTTCTTTTGAGTTCCAGGTGTTTCAGTTTTCCATTTACCCTTTTATGGCTTTCCACCCACAAGAACAGGGCACAGAGCTCTTTCAACACATAAGTTTTTGACAGCTGGACATGCGGAAGACCACCTTCTATCCTCAAATTCCATTCCATTTTATCTATCTATCTATCTATCTATCTATCTATCTATCTATCTATCTATCTATCTATCTATCTATCTATCTATCTATCTATCTGTCCGTCAGTCCGTCCGTCTGTCTGTCTGTCTGTCTCTGCCTGCCTGCCTGCCTGTCTGTCTACCTGCCTATCCTCCATTCAGATCAGTCTTGACCAGTATTTTCCAGATTCAAATGGATATGTATTTCTACCTTGTACCCCAACTTAGATCTTCAAGAATATCCTCCTTAGAACAGCTTACACTAAGCAAAAAGAAAGAAGAGTGGAAGAAATAGTTGGGTTGTCAAAGCTCATAGAACTCTCAAACATTATAGACCATGATAATGACAATTTCCCTTGTATTTCCCTAACATGTGTTTGTGACTTTAAGTATCATAATCTCATAATACTGTGAAATTTATGAGATTTATGTAATCAATCTCAATAAAAATTATTTTTTTAAAAAAAGAAACCAGCCTGGGAAGATAAATCTAAGAGATTCTTATCTTCAGTTAACCAGCAGAAAGCTGTAAGTGAAGGCCTGGTTTAAGATTGCTTGCCTTGATTATAGCCATTTTTTAAAAATAAGTTTTTTATTGTGAAAATACTGTACAGAGGGTTTACAGTTACATGAGCAAAGTAATGAGTACATTTCTTATCAAATAGTGTTGCCTCTTCCTTTGTTTTTCCTCTAACACCCCTTCCCTCCCATCTCCAAAACTACACTCCCCCAACATTCCTCCTGCCAAATAGTAAAGTTCGTTTTTTGACATAGCGTTTTGTATATCTCATCTCGTTGTTGCAATGGGTCACCCTGTATCCCTATTTAAAATTTTTGTTTTTTCCCTTCCGCTCCCCAAATTATACCAACCTCAAATACAGTGAAAACAGGGGTTATACTGTGGGAGAGGGACATACAAAGCAACAAAAAAAATCATGTGGTACCTTAAAAATATGTTAGAAACAATAGCACGAAAGAAAACACCACTTGTGTCCTTATCTTGGGGTTCATTTCCTTAACATCATCTTATCTGATCGTTTCTGCTTGTCTCAGATATATACTAGTTATTGCAAATAAGGGAAACCATGGGACCTATGTTTCTTTGGGCCTGGATTACTTCAGTTAATATAATTTTTTCCAAGTCTTTCCATTTCCTAACAAATGGGGCAATGCCATTCTTTCTGATGGAGGGATAGAATTCCATTGTGTATATATACCACATTTTTTTGATCCATTCATCTACTGAGGGGCATCTGGATTGGTTCCATATCTTAACTATGGTGAATAATGCTGCAATAAACATAGTTGTGCTGGTAGTTTTAGTATGGTCTTGTTTGTGATCGTTTGGGTAAATGCCTAAAAGTGGGATTGCTGGGTATAGGGGAGCTCTATGTGGAGTCTTTTGAGGACCCTCCATACTGCTTTCCAAAGTGGTTGAACAAGTTTACACTCCCACCAACAATGCAGTAGGGTTCCCTTCTGTCCACATCCCCTCCAAAAAAAAATTGCTTGCCTTGAATGATAAAGGTAAAGGGATGACACCCAGGTTCTGAGTTCAAGCCCCAGTACTGGCAAAAAATAAAATAGCCTCCCCAGCAACAATTTCATTCCCATTAATCATTATCCATTCATTGTTAACTTGAATCTGAACCTTCTTCCTAAAGTAACTCTCTAAGTCACTGGGCTAGCTTACATTGCTGGTAGGAAGATGAGTTGTTGTAGGAATTCTGCTACAAGGGGAGGGTATCTGACTGAATATATACTGAGCAATGAAAACATAAGTTCTAGAAGACGGTAGAATATTTGCACAGACACTCCCAATTTGGCAGGTCTTACATTTATGCTAAGGTTGGCCTGGACTATAATTGTCCTGTTGATGCCTCTCAGATAGCTGGGATGCAGGCACAAATTATGATGCCCAGTTTTTATTGACTGAGTTTAGGTCTTGTGAATATTTTGCCCAGGCTGACTTGCAACTGTGGTCACCCCCATCTCAGCCTCCTGAAAGCCGAGGCTTATAGGCATGAGGGTGCTACCATGACTGGCTAAAACAAAAGGCTGAAGTCATTGTAGACCACATCTTTGAATTTTTTGCCATGCCCATTTTCTTTTCCTCCCTCTTTTCTCCCCACCCCCTCTCCCCACCACATTTTTCTCTCTTTTCTTCTTGTTGTTCATGGGGCTTGAACTCAGGGCGTGGGCACTGACCCTGAGCTTTTTTTGCTAAAGGCTAGTGCTCTACCATTTTGAGCCACAGCACCACTTCTGGATTTTTGGTGGTTAATTTGAGTCTCATAGACTTTCCTGCCTGGGCTGGCTTTGAACCTCAATCCTCAGGTATCAGGCTCCTGAGTAGCTAGGATTATAGGTGTAAACCACTATCACGCATCTTCATGCCCATTTTCTTTCTTTCTTTTTTTTTTGGGGGGGGGTCTGGTCGTGGGGCCCGAACTCTGGGCCTAGGCGCTCTCCCTCAGCTCTTCAGCTCAAGGCTAGCGCTCTACCACTTGAGCCACAGCGCCACTTCCGGCTTTTTTCTTTTTGCTTATGTGGTGCTGGGGAATTGAACCCAGGGCCTCATGCATGCAAGGCAAGCGCTCTACCGCTGAGCCACCTTCCCAGCCCATTCATGCCCATTTTCTTAATGAAGTGTTTTATTTAACTATTCTAATCTTCTACTATTTCTTGGAAAGTGATGAGAAATAATGTTTAATTTATTGTGGCTTGCAAGAGCAGTGAATTGTGTGAAGAGTTGTGAGGAGTCCACAAAGTTCCTCTAGGTTACTCTCAGGTCTTGGATAGGGGATGGGATACAGTGGTGAAATCTCAGCTTGCCAGGTGGTTTACCAGTCTTTCTCTTGGGAAACTTTGAATACTTTTCTGAATGTGTATCATACTTAAAGAAAAAACAAAACAAAACAAAATGGGACAACATATAGTCTTTGCTCTCCAGTAACTTAGATTCTGTCAGGAGAGATAAGTAAGTTTCCCTTTCTATTATCCTTCCTCTGTTTGTAGAGATTCATGCTCCCACTTTTCTTGTTCCTGAAAGAACTGAACATTTTATGTGTAAACATTTGCTGCTGCTGATACATTCTTTCAGCTTTCATATTGGAAAAGCTTTTATTTTGCTTGGTGTTTGAGAGATATTTTTAGTAAGTATAGAAATCTAGATTGACAGGGTTTTTCCTTTGAGTACTAAAAAGGTGTTACAGCCGTCATATTCTTATGTTACTTACTGACAAGCAATTTACTGATGTTCTTATTTTTCTTATTTGTGTGTGATGCGCTTCCAATCCCCAGTTTTTTCTTAACATTGGTTCTGAGCAAGTTTATTTCTGTGCTTTATATAGTTCTCTCTCTCTCTCTGTCTCTCATTCTCTTTATGATTATTGAGTTTTGGATTTGTTGAGCTACTTGGTTCATAGCTTTTATCAAATTTTGTAAAATTTTGGACAGTCTTCATTTTTTAATGTTCCCTATCTCTCCTTTAGGAATACCTTATGGACATGCATTAAGTAACCTTAAGTTGTCTGATAGCTTAAAGATGTTCTATTAATTTTTTCTAAAATTTGCTCTGATTCTATGTTTCTTTGTGGGTGGCTTACATGGCTACATATTCAGATTCACTAATTGTTTCCTCTTCAATGTCAGACTTGTTAATTCTTTCAGTATTTTTAGTTAAGACATTCTAGTTTTCACTTCTAGAAGCTTTATTTGGGTCTTTAAAAATGACTTTTATATCTTTCCACATTCCTTGAATATAGGATACAGATTTAGAACCACTGTCATAATCTGTTTATCTGTTATTATCTTGGGGTTAATATTAGATGGTTTTTGTGCCGATACCAGGACTTGAAATCAGGGCCTTATGCTCTCACTTGATTTTTTCCCACTTAAGGCTGTTATTCTACTACCTGAGACATACCTTTAGTCCTGGCCTCTTGCTGGTTAATTGAAGATAAGGGTCTCTCAGATTTATCTGCCCAGGCTGACTTCCAACCAGGACCCTCAAATCTTAACCTCCTAAGTAGTTAGGATTACAAGAATGAACAATCAGGCCCCAGCTTACTACAGTGGTTTCAATTGATGGATTTTTCTCCGAATAGATTATATTTGGCAGCTTCTTGACCTGTCTGATGACTGGATTGTAAGTTTTGCTTCTTTTGGGTTTGGGAATATTTTTTTACTCAAGGCTAGTACTTTACCACTTGAGCCACAGCTCCACTTCCAGCTTTGTTATTGTTTAAAATAAAACATTTCAGGTCTGGGAAGGTGGCTCAGCGGTAGAGTGCTTGCCTTGCATGCATGAGGCCCTGGGTTCGATTCCTCAGCACTACATAAGCTGAAAAAGCAGGAAGTGGCGCTGTGGCTCGTAGAGCACTAGCCTTGAGCTGAAGAGCTGAGGTACAGTGCCCAGGCCCAGAGTTCTGGCCACATGACTGGCAAAAGCTTTAAAAATAAAAAATAAAACATTTCACTGTTCTTTGGAAATAGTTTTTCAGTGTTAGTAAAGGGAAACTGTTAACCACAGTTGACTTTATCAAGAATCAGGAAGTACCATGACATCAGCATCAGATTTTAAAAATGTAGAAGATGCTTTGAGTAGAAGGTTATATATTTTAGGTATCTGGTTGGAAAACATACTTGACAGAATTGTCTGGCTGGATTAATTTTCTCTATTGAACTTCTTTATCACTTGATGTGATGGCAGGTAGTAATAGTACAAAGAACTTTACTGAAGTTTCTTTAGCATTTGTTATGTCCATAGTAGCTCTTGCTATAATGCTAGGAAATGCTGTGGTCATTTTAGCTTTTGTGATGGACAAAAACCTTAGACATCGAAGTAATTATTTTTTTCTTAACTTGGCCATTTCTGACTTCTTCGTGGGTAAGTTATATGTCTATTTCAAACAATTTTTCTGATGATTATTCTTTCTAAAACCTTAAAATAAGCTCTTGTTATTTCAAGAGGGTTACACAAGAGGGAGGGACATTAAAAAGAAAATTTTGAATTATTAAAATTCTGGAGTCTATGTGGCATTTTAAGCATTTTAAGCAAATCAGTGTAATGAGGAACTTTTATCTGAAACCAATTTCTTTTTATTGAATAACATTAAGTTTAGAATAGTCCTAAATTTGTTTTGATAAAAAGAATTACTTATTTTAGGAGTTGTTTTCCTTGTATGTTTACATTTGTAAGTATTTCTCTCTAAGTAAGTCCTAGTTTCCTTAGATGGAGGCATAGAAATAATTGGATGGTGGGATAATAATTAAAAAATGAGATAGCCAGGTCACCCAAATGTTGTGGCTAATAGTAGTATTTTCAAAGTTATGACACAGAATATATATATATATAATATTACACTAAATTACCTTGCATATAATGTGTCATATTGTTATATCATTGAAAGAATCCATACAAACCAAAGTAATCTTTGAAAACATTCTTTGTAACTTGTCAGTTCCTGATTGTTACCACTTTTCACAGCTCTTATCATAATAAACACAAATGCAAAACTGTCAACAGGCTGACACTTATAATTTATATATAATTTAATCTGGCATATTTAGAAAAAGGTTGCTTGTAGATTAAAATTGAATGAAGAAGATAGGATAGTTTATTGCCTAAAATGCAATTGTTGTTCAACAAATGTTAGTCCTCTTTTGAGTGATCTACAGATATGTTTCAACCAAATTAAGTTCACAAACGTTGGTATAGTATATAGCATGAGTGTCCTGTGATATACACAATATCAATAGGACCTATAGATGAATAGATCCATCTCTTCCCCAATTCATAAATGACTCTAATATATGGAGTGATGTGAGACCCCATGGAAACATACCCAGAGAAAAGGCACTCAAAAAATGGAGAAAGCACATTTAATTAGTGGAAAGTGGCATTCAAAGTGCACCATTGAATGACAGCCAGGCTTTCCACAGACAGAGATGGGGAGAAGAGAATTCCAAGAATCAGCAAGAGCATGCTGGTACAAAGTCATTATTCTTATCTTCTTAGGTGTGAGCCTGAGGCTAGTGTGCAGACAGTTGAGTGGGAACAGAAAAGGATCAAGTTTGGATCTCTATAGTCATGGTCTTGAAATAATAGCATCAGTTTGGATTGGAGCTTTTAAAACAGACAATGAGGAGATGTAAGGATTTTACAAACCAGTAGAGAGAGGGTAGGACCAAAGATCAAGGGTGTTACCCTGAGAGGCAGCCTGCAGGAGGCAGGAGAGCTGGGGCATGCAGCAATGCTGTGATCTAGGTAGAAGGCAAGTGACAAGACTTTGAGCAACAGCAAGGGTGCAAAAGAAGGACATTCGGCAGAGCTGCAGAAGGTGGAGATGGTCAAGAGAAAGAGAGATGGGGGGCCGGGGGGGGGGGAGGCTGGGAAGGGATGTGAAGGGTAACCAAAGGAGGAGGCTACAATGCTTGATAAGAAATGTACTCACTATCTTGCTCATGTAATTGTAACCCCTCTGTACAGTATTTTCACAATAAAAAAAAGAGAAAGAGAGAGATGAATGTGTGATTGGGCTTCTATGGGTCTAAGGAAGATATGGCCCTCAACCAAAGTCAGGAGCATGTGGGAGGACACTTACAGTTCTACTGTTGCCTGGAAAGTTCTTGAGGAAACTCCTGGCTAGAGAGACTTACTTAAGTGCTATGACATAGAAACAACAAAATCAGAGATAAAACAGATAAACTGATAAGTGTGTGTGTGTGTGTGTTTCTGGGATTTAAACCAAGGCCTTCATACATACTAGGTAAGCCCTCTACCCTAGACGTGTATCCTTGCACAGAATTTTTTCTTTTCTTTATTGAGGTTAAAACTCACAGGGCTGTATTTGCTAGGCAGGCTCTACCACTTGAGCCACTCGACCAGCCCCAGCACAGATAATTAATTTTTTAAATGAATGATTACTGGGCTCTCCTGGCTCATAACTGTTACCTTAGCTACTCAGGAGGCTGAAATTTGAGGATCATGGTTCAAAGCTGGCCTGGGTAACAAAGTCCATGAGACTCTTGTCTCCAATTAATCATAGAAAAAGCTAGAAGTGGAGCTATGGCTCAAAAAATTAGAGTGCTAGCCTTGAGCACTCAGGCCCTGAGGTTAATCCCCAGGAAAATCAATGATGTTCCCCTTTCTCTTTTCAATTCTTTCTCTCCAAATAACCATCATTTACAATTTGATATATATCCTGCTCCATCATTCACTCTGCTCACATAAAAATATACACAAGTATACTGATGTGAATGTGGAGACTTTTCTGCTACAAATATATCTCTTCTTCCTTTATGAAATTGTGTGACTTTTAGGTAGCATTTGGTAGTTAAAAAGATGATGTATTTTGATTATTCCAATGAGAACAAGGCCCTGACATACTTGGTCATAGAGAAGAACAAGGCAAAACAACCAAGATCCAAGATTTTGGACATAGATGGCTCCCCTTTTTACTGTCTTATATTAGTAGTTTGTTTTCTCTCACTTTTTGGAAGTGGTGGTAGGCAGTAATGGAGTTTGAACTCAGAGCCTTGTACTTGGTAGGCAATTGCTTTATCTCATGAACCATACCTCAACCCTTTTTGCTTTAGTTGTTTGTCAGATAGCAACTTGTGCTTTTGCCTGAGCTGGTTTTGGATCATGATCCTTCTGCTTCTGCCTCTCATGACAAGTATACACTAACACACTGGGCTTGTTCTTTGAGATATAGCCCTACTAACATTTTGTGCTGGACTTGACTTGAACTTCAACCCTCCAATTTCTGTCTCTTGAGTTAGGATTACATCATTTTTTCTTTTTCTTTTTTAAATGATAACCAACATTCATTTATTTGCATTTATTTTATGCTAAATTTATTCCCATGCCGTAAGTTTTTGTTTCTTCATTTTCTTCTGGGATACTTTTTTTTCTTCTGTGCCACCTCCAATTCTGGTTTATGAACAATTTACTCCTTTTCAGTAAGGATCATTACAATGTGACATGAGGCACTCATGTATGGGTGAATCTGACTATGGCCTCTATGAGTTCAGCAGTGTATCTTGGGTGCTTTGTTCACCTGGATGTGTTCAATGACCAGAAAGTCTACATCCAAACCCTTCAGTTCAGCATTACTCTCTGCATTCTGAAGAGTATGCAGCAGAAATTCAGCATTCTTTTTGGGCCACCAACCTCGTGTTCAGCCCATTGCTGCCTGTGCACACTTGCCAACTCTACCATATAATGCCTGACAGCACACATTGCTTCTTCAAAGTGACCTCTTTCAGATACTTGGAAGATTTTCAGATATGCATACTCTTTTTTAAAAATATATAATATCAGAGTCTTTATTATACAGTTAACAGGCTGCAGGCCACCAGTTATTACAAAGGCCTTCAGCACGCAAATACACATAACACAGCCAGCAAACATGCTAAAGAGGAAAGAAATAACAAAAACAATACCAACGAGCCAATTCAGCTCTAATAGAGAGCTGAATTGGGACTCCATGATGACTGGAGATGAGCCAGGAGACAGGACACAGGACATGATCTTGGAGACACACATAGCATGGCATCAGATATGCATAGTCTTGACAGCCTGAGCTGCTTCTCTGCTGTTCTTAAAGTGAACAAAAAGATTTGAACCTTTTGACTTTCATGATTTAATGGGGTTTCCTGGATCAAGAAAGTAGCGAAGCATTTTTACAGCTCCCTCCAGCCCTCTTACAGGAAGAGCTTTTAATTTTCTTAAACTGACACTTCTTTAAACTTTTTATTTGGCCGGGTGCTGGTGGCTCATGCCTGTAATCCTAGCTACTCAAGAGGCTGAGATCTGAGGATCGCAGTTCAAAGCCAGTCGGGGTAGGAAAGTCCATGAAACTCTTATCTCCAGCAAACCACCAGAAAACCAGAAATGGTGCTATAGCTCAAGTGGTAGAGCGCTCGCCTTGAGCTGAAGAGCTGAGGGACAGTGCTCAGGCCCAAAGTTCAAGCCCCATGACTGACAAAAAAAATTATTGTAAAGATACTGTACAGAGGAGTTACAGTTACATGAGTAAGGTAATGAGTACATTTCCTATAGTGCATTGTTACCCCTCTTTTGTTTTTCCCCTACTATCCCATCCTTCCTTATTTCCCCAACTCCCCCCGCCCCACAATTGTAAAGTTCATTTCCAACATAGTATCTTGTACATCTCATTGTTACAAGGGTCAATCTGTATCCTTGTTTCAGCATTTTATTATTTCCCTTCCCCTCCTCAAATTAGAAAAATATAGGTGCAAGATGCAGGGCACCAGAATCAAATACAGTGACAACAGGGGTTATACCATTGGGGGAAGAACATACAAAAGAAACAAAAAAAAATCACATGGTACATTAAAAACAATAGTTATAAGAAAAAACCTCTTGTGTCCCTATTTCACTTAGCATCATTTTATATAGTCATATGTGCATAGCTTTTGACCTTATCTGCTTGTCTGGTAAGATTATCCTAGACATGTACTTGTTATTGCAAATAAGTTTCAGGAACTGGCTCTTGGACTTACTTAGCAAGTCTGTTGAGCTAGAAACACAGTTCCATTGTAGAAGTTGTAGAAACACTTCTGAGTAGGCAGCTCGGAGAAATATTTATATTCACTTTTCTGAAACTCCTTCAAAGGAAACCCAAATATGTGTTTTTCCACAGACAGGAACTGAGAATATGGCATTTGCACTAAAACATCACACAGAACACAAGGGGACAACAGAATAGACTAGAATGCATTCTATCAGCAAACTGCATTCAAGCAGTTTTGGCGTTTCCAGCACACCATTCCTTATTCATATAATTCAGAAAGTATGTGGAAAGGCGTATTCAACTTAGAACCCTTGTTTTAATACTTCAAGTCAGTGGAGTCCAATGCAAAGATCACAAGCATCTCCATCTGTGGAAGAAATGAGTGTAGATGTGGAAAATACTCAAGCTGAAAACATTGGAAGGCACAACTTTGGACCTTTTTTTTCATTGTAAAGATACTGTACAGGGCTGGGCAGGTCGCTCAGTGATAGAGTGTTTGCCTTGCATGCATGTGGACCTGGGTTTGATTCCTCAGCATCACACAAGCAGAAAAAGCCAGAAATGGTGCTGTCGCTCAAGTGGTAGAGCGCTAGCCTTGAGCTGAAGAGCTGAGGGACAGCGCCCAGGCCCAGAGTTCAGGCCCCACAACCAACAAAAAAAGAAAAGAAAAAAGGAGGTACAGAGGGGTTACAGTTACATGAGTAAGGAAATGAGTACATTTCCTATCAAGCATTGTCACCCCTCCCTTTATTTTTCCTCTACTATCCCTTCCAACTTTGTTTCTGTTTTTGGGATTCTTTGATTTACTTCAGACTTTGTTTCTATTTTTTAGATACTTTGATTTACTTCAGGCAAACTGGCTCCCCCCTCTCCACACCTTGATGAAATGAAAGGCACTGAATTGAAACTTCTCATTAAAAACACAATTGAAGCTGGGCTCTGGTGGTGCATGCCTGTAATCCTAGCTACTCAGAAGGATGACCTGAGATCACAATTGGAAGCCAGAGCAGGCAGAAAAAGCTATGAGACTCTATTGTCAATTAACTACTCAGATATAAGCTAGAAGTGGGGCTGTGGTTAAGTGGTAGAGCACTAGCCTTGAGCAAAAGAAGCTCAGGAAAAATGCCTAGGCATTGAGTTCAAGCCCCAGGACTAGCAAAAAAAACAAAAAAAAAAAACAAAAAACAACAACAAAAAACAACCCAGGGGCTAGGAAGGTGGCTCAGTGGTGGAGTGCGTGCCTTGCATGCCTGAAGCCCTGGGTTCGATTCCCCAGCACCACATAAGCAAAAAGAAAAAAAAGCCGGAAGTGGCACTTTGGCTCAAGTGGTAGAGCGCTAGCCTTGAGCTGAAGAGCTAAGGGACAGTGCCCAGGCCCAGAGTTCAGGCCCCACAACTGGATCCCCCCCCCAAAAAAACCCCAAAACAAGCAACAAACAAACAAAAAACCCAACCAAACTAAAACAAAACAAAAAACAATGGAAGCCAGGCATGGTAGTTGACATTTATAATTCCGGAACTTGGGATACTGAGATAGGAGGTACTCAAGTTCAAGATACAGTGACTAG